GAATCCAGCTGTTCATTAATGATTATAGGGCCCTTTAATCTAATCATGTAGAAGCGGGTGGTGACAAAACCAATCAGGGAAAGAGACAAAACACCCAGGACCATTTTAGCTGCCAGGTATTCGTGATACTTCATTATGCAGTCCCTTTTCTCCTCCTACAATCTTTTTTTTTTTTTTCCCAGTATTGGGTTTTTGAAATCAGGGCCTTGCATTTGTTAGGCAGGTGTTCTATCCTTCAGCCACACCCCCAGTCCTTTTGCTTTAGATATTTTTTTTAGATAAGAGTCTTGTATTTACATCCTGGCAGGCCTGGACTGAAATACTCCTACCTATGTGCTTCCTATGTAGCTGGGAAGACAGGCACACCACCAAGCCCTATTCTATAATGGGTTAAGATGAGATCTTGCCAGGTTGGCATCAAACTGAGATCCTCTGATCTCCACCTCCTGAGAAGCTAGGATTACAGGCACGAGCCTCTGTGCCCAGTTCCTCACACAAAATTCATTCTCGTTTCTTTTGGCAGCACTGGAATTTGAACTCAAGGCCTTGCACTTGCTAATTAGGTACTCTATCACTTGAGCTATTCCACCAGCCCTTTTTTGTGTTGGATATTTTTGAGATAGGGTCTCACAAACTCTGCCTAGAGCTGGCTTCAAACCACGATCTCTTCTGAGTAGCTAAGATTACAAATGTGAGCTACAGGCACCAAGTTTTATAATTAAACAACATCAACCCACCACTTTAAAATGACTATCTTCCCTTTGCCTTGTTGTCTGTTTATACAGCCTATTGTAAAACAAAAATCTCACTACCTCGCCCATAGGGATCACAGCTCAATGGACTTAGCGGCTGCTTTGTTCTTTGTCCAGATGCTCATGCCTGAAATCTAGAAGAGCTAGTTGTCAGGAAGAAAGGAGATAATGGGCTCTCTAAGGATGACCTCTGGCCTGTTATTGATTTGTGATACAATATGTAAAGAAATTGAGAGAAACATTTAGGAATGGTTAACATTCTCAGCTAGGTGTGGTGATACACACTGTAATTCCAGCAATCTGGAGGCAGAGGTGGTAGAATAACAAATTCAAGGCCAGCCTAGTTTACACAGTGAGCTGAGCTACCTAACAACTGGAGAAGGAGCAGGAGGAGGAGAAGGAAGAGGAGGAAGGAATGATTAACATTCCGACATTGCTGCAACATCCAAATGCAACAGTGCAAGTATCAGTCCATGGTTGGTGGGAAATAAAAATAAAATCAGTCTTTCATCTCAGATAGCTTCGTAAGCACTTTATTAAATACCCAGATTGTGGCTGGGATGTAGTTAAGTAGTTAATTCTCTTATCATACTAGCTAATTTTAGAGCAATTAAAAAAAAAATCCATCTCCTACCCTCACTCCAAACAAAGATCCCGTGTAGAAAAAAATAAGCTGACTATTTTATATGCCACCTTCATGAACCAGTGATTTATTTCCCAATGGGGGTGGGGGGAAAGCACAACTTTTGGATTTCTTAAGACTAAACAAAAAGGCATAAAGTAATTAAACTGTTTACAGCCAAATACAAGGTTTTTTGTGGCCTACGTTATAGTAACTTGGCTAAGAACTGCACATGTTTGAAGGTCTTAATTTTTATTCATCTCTTTTTATGGTAAAATGGTTTAAGTGCCCAATTCTCATGAGCCCTGGTCTCCTTCCTAACTCTGCAGTTAGTACACACCACTGACAATTGTGTGGGATGTTGTGCCTGGCCTTTTCTGTGCATGATGCCATCAAATGAATGCTAATCTTATCCCTTTTTCAAAATGAGGAAACTGGAGCAGAAAAAAAATTGGCTGAGTCACACAACTAGCAGCAGTGAAGTGGGATTAAACCCCACTCCAGCCACCCCGCCCCCCGACCCGCCCCCTCTTGGCTTTATTGGCTTTGACCTTATTACTGTTTCCCCATACTGTTTCCATTTAAAGTCTTTGGTGAGCTGACACTGGTTGCTGATGGGCTGTTTGCTTCTTCTTTTTTTTTTTAGCAAGAGTGGGAGATCCCCAGGTTGACAAAGGTAGTTGAAGTATTAGACAGTGCTTCTTCTTCTTCTTCTTCTTCTTTTTTTTGTAGTGTTGGGTCTTGAACCCAGGGCCTGCTCTCTTTACATTTGAGGCAAGTACTTTACCACTGACCTATGGCTCCAGCCTCCTGTTTGCTTCTTAATGCATCAGCTTGATCACGTCTCTCCCTCTTGCTCCCTCAAAGTCCCAAACTTTCTATATGTAAAATAGGGAGAGGTGCTGGTAACTCACACCTGTAATCCTAGCTACTCAGGAGGCAGAAATCAGGAGGATCATGGTTTGAAGCCAGTGTGGCAAATAGTTTGTAAGACCTTATCTCAAAAAAACCCATTGCAAAAAGGGCTGGCGGAGTGGCTCAAGGTGTAGGCCCTGAGTTCAAACCCCAGTACCACAAATAATAATAATAATAATAATAATAACAACAACAACAATGAAATAGGGAGAGGAAGCAGAAAAAAAACGCTTAAATCTCAGATTTTTGTTTTGTTTCCCTCATTATGAAAGAAAACCACCAGTCTCTTCTAATGTGTACACACACACACACTGATCTACCATCCAGTTTATAAATGCTCCCTCCCTGCCATGGTCGAAGTGACCACCAACTACCTAGCATGGAAAGAGTTTAATTTTTTTGTTCCCTGCAGTTGCTGCATCAAGAAAGAAAAGGAAATCATGTCTTCTCCACAGGCAGGATCCCTCCTGTTAGGTTTAGGGTGGCAGGTCTCCTTCCTTTTGGTTAAAGAAAAGTGGCCCAGCTTGCATTTTCCCACAGAGCAATGCCAGAATTCCTGTCCTTACCTGAAGCAGGAAGGCAGCTCTGAGAAGGGCTGAGCCTTCCTTCCTGCTTCCTTCTGAACCCTTCCAAATTCTGCTTTGGATTTCAGGAATGGGCATTTCCCCAAACAACTCCCTTCACATGAGTTCCTAAAGCAAGGACCATTTTTATTAGTGGGCCCTGCCCCTGCTCTACCCAAATGAGTAGTTGGCCTCAGTTGCCCACCCAGCCAGAAGTGGAAGAGTCTTTCATTTGTGGTTTGGTGGTCTTATTTCAAAAGGGAAAAACATTCCAGTTCTTCCTCCTCCTGTCTTTTGTACTTCATCCTAGCCTACGGTTTTTCAAATGCCACTACCGGCTTTCTCTCTTAAGACCAGGACACCCTGGGTTTCATTTTGGTCTTCCCACAGAGATAACAGGCCCCTTCCCTCATAGCTCTCCTAGGACTTTCCCTGCTGCTCTCTCTGGCTCGCTGCTGATATCATCAAACCAATCCAAACCACTGAACCTATTGCCTTAAGAAAGGGAATGGAGGGGTGTGGGGAAGACCATGCCTGAGAAAGAATGTGAGGACCCAGGAGGTCTGTGTTGGATTGCAATAGCCCTAGGGTAGCCCAGGATAGACAGCTCTTATGCTCTTCCCTTTTCAGGTAATGTCTCCCACTTCTTCCTTCTCCCTCTACATGCTCCGCTTAGCACAAGCAAGTTTAGTCATCTACAATTTCCACACAGAGCACTATTTGGGACAGGATAATTCTTTGTTGTGCAGAACATTGCTGTAATTGTTTACCTTATGTGTCTATCTGCTTCAGGAAACTTAGGGACGGGGTTGTGTCCTCCTCTCTGGGCCCCCAGCCCAGTGCTTGGCACACGGCAGGCACCCTCTCATTTAGTAAATGTTTGTGAAGGACTGAGCTCGGAATCACTCTGTAAGCTGGGTAAAGCTGTACTACTTTCTTTTCCACATAATAGCACCTGGTGTTTACTGCAATAAACAATGATTGTGTTGTTTTAATTCAGGACCTTGGGCAGAGACTCTAAGGTGAATGGGAACAACACTAGAATGGGAGTTTGAACTTCTAAGTTCTTGCCTTGGCTCTGGTAACTAATGAAGCCTATCACATTGTGGATGATGGCATTTTCTTCAACCAAGAAAGTGGAGGGTCTGCTCTGATCAAGCGTTCTTAATCCAGTGTCCACAGACAGAAAAGTGTTACAGAGGGGATTAAAGGGAGTCTTGAACAATCTGAAATTGCTCAGTTTGTTTGCAGTCTGTGTAGAGAGAGATGACCAACCACAGATTTCTTAAATAGACAACAACTGTTAATCTGGATGAGAGCCTCTCCAATTCAGATCCTGGTGCATGATCTCTGAAGGTGAAGTAGCTGCTGGGGAACAACAGAAGTAGCTGGTACCTGCCCCACATTCTGAATGCCATCCCAGGCTCATCTGAAATGAACTTTGTCAAGGGAACTCTTGCATGACCACAGGAACAATTCAGCAGTTCCCTGAACTTTGGCTTCCCTAGCCAGGGGGCAAAGGCAAAGTCTAAGTCAGACATTAGAGAATGCTCCCGCAAGATCAGAGAAACCAGATTAGAATGGAAAATGGCTGAAAAGTGAACCTCATATGAACTAAGGGAGGTAAATGATAAGTTACATCCTCAGCCAAAGCTGATATTAAGTGCTGGGTACTCTCGAGATCATAATGTTCCTGCAAAGGAGATTAAATACAAGTTTCACTGCTTCAAATGTCCTCTGGCCCCCTTTCTGCCCTGCACTGTCTGCCCACAGAAGTTCAGGATAGGTCCAAGCAGACTCTCGGTAGCGCTTCTGCAAAATGCAACGACTAGAATTTGCTGCCAGTAAAGGAGGGAGAAGGTTTCAATCTGTTTTCAACAATCCTGGGCGCAGGTCATGTGCCAGGCGCAGGGCTAGGTAACGAAGGCACACGGAAAGATTCTTCGTTTGGCGATAACCGCTAACCGCCACCCCAACCCCACCCCCACCGCCTGGTAATCAGCTCATCTGAGCAACCAGGGCGTTGCAAGGTGAGGGACCCCCTTCTGGAGCCCTGTGGGACTGGAACTGGGGATCCCTGACCGCTGCCCGGCTCAGAGGAGAAGGAGGCAGGGTCGGGTAGGCTCCCCACCCTCCTTTCCCTTTTACCAAGCGAATGTCCCCGGGTCCGTGCACCACCAGCGAGAGGTTCTCGGCCTTATCTGCTGCCGCCATGTCGCTCTCTCTCTCGCTTTCGGGTGGAGGTTGGAGTCTGCTGGACCGGAGTTGGTTCTAGTAGCCGCCTGGCTGAGGGTCGAGGGTACCGGGCGAAGGCGGGGCCTGGACTCTGCGGCGCAAGCTCAAGCCAGGGGCGGGGCCTTCTGTTTCTTGACAGCCAGGGCGGGAATCCGGTGGGCGGGGCTTGCGTGGGGGGGCGGGGCTTGCGTCGAGAGGCTGGCGCAAGGTTAGCAAAACCACAGTCAGCAAATCAGCGTTTTCGCAAGCTAAGGCTGCAGAAGAATGGGTATGGGGAAATGTGGGACGCTGCTGAGAATGCATATTCTCAGGACCAGCACCGACATTCTGGTCCGAGGTGAGGCCCAAGGATCTGTATTATTAGGATGGCAATGCCGAGGCTGCGGGTGGGACACCGTGTGTTTTATCCTGATGCGGTGTCTAAGTTGGCGTCGGGGTCCCCAGTAGCCTGCAAAACGCCTGTCCCGAATACAAAATGAATGAATGAATCGTGTATCATCCAGTAGGCCGATGCATCAGTATAAAGAAGCTGTGAAATGAAATTTCTGTTGGAAGCAGGGGTTCTGCCCAAATTCTTCCTTCAGCCTCTCTCAGAAAGAGTGAAATTTTTCCCTTTGGGGAGGGAGCTGCTTATCCGACAGGTCGGCCTATACGGGCTCCTCCCTCCTTTGAGGACTACGCTCAGGATTTGACTTCCCAGATCCTCTGCCCCTCCCCCGACCACACTCCCGAGCCTCTAACTTCTTCCAGGGGACTTTCCCAGTCCCCAGCCCTGTGGCAAAGCCTGCATGCCCAACCCATGGGACGCAGCTTGTACTTTCACCTGTGATTACTCCCCAGATGCACTGGAAGTCCACTGAGGGCAGGCCTTATTTCTTGACCAGAACCTGCTAAACTGTTCTGTACAGCGCAGGAGCGCAAAGAAATTTTTTTGGTGCTGGGCGCCGGTGGCTCACGCCTGAAATCCTAGCTACTCAGGAGGCAAAGATCAGGAGGGTCGCCGTTCAAAGCCAGCCCAAGCAAATAGTTCTCGAGACCCTAACTCGAAAAACCCCAGTACCGGGAAAAAAAAATGGTGATGAAGATGGATCAAGCTCTTGTGCCCCAATAATGACAAAGGAAATTGGGGCTTGGGGAGCAGCGTACAGGGTGTTACAAGGTTTAACGAGGCAATGAGGTGGATTTTTAAGGGGGACACTTATAGAGGCAGTCAAGTCCTTCGTGTTTTTGTTTTGAGGAAGGATAGGGTTTTCTTTTTATTATCTTCATGTACAGAGAACTCAACATCACATTTAACCCGGTTTAAAGTCTAACTCTTTAGCCTTTGTCTCTTCCAGCAGGGAAACGAGAGCCAGATTTTGGACCCAGGATGTCGCCTCCCCCGTGAATGGCAGATTTCATCCTATCTGTCATTGTACTTGGCTCTGACTGCCTCCAGAGCTTAGTCAGATCTCCTCTGCCTTGTGAGTTAACCTGTGTAAAGGCAACCATGGTACATGCCTTCCTGTGGACTAGCTGTCCCAGCCTGGCCTTCCCCTTGGTGATGAAGCAGGGGACCCCCATCTTTCCACACAGGGCACGCTAGAATACAATCAGTTTGATGGTTGTATTCCATGTCGTGGACAATCACCACCAGTTGAGCCTTCTTGTTCTCCACTGCAGTGACAGTATTGACCCCTGCTCAAAGGACCACAGTCACTTAGTGGAGATGTCTCCTTTGCCAGAAGCTTTCTTCTCAACCCCAACCAGCAGCTTCTACTGCCTCTGGCTTCATCTTTGGTGGATTCTTGTGGGCAAGCTTAAGCAGCTGTGTAGCTGTTTGGCAGTCCAAGGTCAGGGTGAACTGGTTAATCGCAGAAGACACTTTTAGGGCATATGGAAGATAGCCCTATCCCCTGTAGCCAGTTACAGCAGACTCATTTTACAAAACAGATGAGGTAGCTTTAGGGCTGGATGTCCTGTCCAATGCCACAGTTCTTAGGCCTTTTTTCAGAGGACTTACCACCTTCTTGGCCTCTTGCTGCTTCACGATAGCAGGAGCTGGGGCCATCTTCTTCCTAGTGGTCTTTTTTTCCTTTTGGCATCTTGCCCATCTGGAGAGGTGGTCATTGGCTTTGAAACACTTCCTACAAGCCTCAGTTGTGCTTGACTGGATCCTCCAGCAGCTCCTGCACTTAGCAGCTAAGCAGACTTCACTTAGAGAAATGAGGCTCCAGTTTTCACTCATTTGCTGAATTTAAGACCCAGCTTCCCCTCCTCACCTTGTGGGGCTTCCTTAGTCTCCCAAGTGTGTCTTTCTAATGGGTGAAGCTGAAGGAGAAGGTCCAGGAATGGCCATAAGAGCTGAGGACCACTTGAAATAGATACTTCTTGATTTTTAAATTATGAAAACAGAACAATCAGAAACAAAACAATTGCCACTGAAATAAGGACACAAGGCCCACACGTGGAGTGGTGTATGTTTTCTCCCCAGCAGTAACACCTTGAAACTACCTTAAAGGTTGGCTGGGGGCAAAGAGAGTTGATGGGCTGATAGATAAAACACTCTTAAGACTATAACTCTTTATTGGAAATGTAAATGTATAAGCTGATAAGGAGTCTTAAACTGACTTTTTTTTTTTTTTTGGCAGCACTGGGGTTTGAACTGAGGGTCTCCCCACTGTATTCTACCACTTGAGCTTTGCCCTCAGTCATTTTATTTTTAGTTTCTTTCGCAGATAGGGTCTCACACTAAGTACCTTTGCTGGCCTAGAACTGAGATCCTGCTACCTCTACTTCTGCAGGAATTGGAATTATCATTTTTAAATTTAGAAATGTATTTAATCCGTAAGTTTTATATAACTTTAGTTAAAACAAAAACAGTGAAACCAAGACAGCATTTCAAAGTGTGGGCTCTTTAAGCCTTCCAAATACAAGAGCTCTGAAAGTTATGTATACAACCAATTGGACGAACAAGAAAAAAATATAAATTGAGTTATGACATTTCATAAAAAATAATTTTATATAACTTAAGCACCTTTCCTGGAAGCAGTTGATTGCATTTACAAAAGAAAAACAAAACACAACCAGAAGAATTGTTAAACTAGTAAACTGGAATTGAATTCCAGGGTTCCAATTTAACCTGCTAAATATTAGTGTAAAGCCACAGTGTCCTGCAAACAACATTCTATCATTTTTCTGTCTCATTCTTTTTTTCCTCTCTCTCTTTTTTTTAAGTGGTAAATAATTGCTTTATTTTTCATATGGGATCTCACACTTTTTGCCAGGGGCTAGCCTCACACCATAATCCTCTTACCTCCTGCCTAGCTGGGATTACAAACATGGACCACCACCACACACAGATTGTTTTTTGAGATATTCTTGACAACTATTTAACCTAGGCTGGCCTTGAACTGTGATCCTCCCATCTCTACCTCCTGAATAGTTGGGATTACAGAAGTGAGCCACTGTGCCCAACCCTCTGCTTCATTCTTGAACTCGAATCCTGATTTATTTCAGCAGAGGCTCCATGGCAACAAGAAAAAGTATGGCATTAATATATTCTTTTGGAGTCAGGTGCCAGTGGCTCATTTCCTATAATCCTAGCTACTCAGGAGGCAGAGATCAGGAGGATTGCAGTTTGAAGCTAGCCCAAGTAAATAGTTCTTGAGACCCTATCTCAAAAAACCCTTCACAAAAATAGGGCTGGTTTAGTGGCTCAAAGTGAAGGCCCTGAGTTCAAGCCCCAGTACTGCAAATATATTCTTTTGGTTGGTGGGAATGTAAATTAGTACAACCACTATGTAAAATGGTATGGAGGCTCCTCAAAAAACTAAAACTAGAACTGCCATATGATCCAGCAATACCACTCCTAGGGACATAGGAATGTAAGTGAGGTCACAATAAAGGCCTGCACATCCATGTTTACTGCAGCACTATTCACAATACCTAAGCTATGGAAATAGCCAAGATGCCCCACTACTGACGAATGGATTAAGAATAGGTGGTATTTATACACAGTGGAATTCAGCCATAAAGAAAATAAAATTTTGTCATTTCCAGATAAATAGTTGGAACTGGAGAACATCATCTTAAGTGAAGTTAGCCAGGTTCAGAAAGCCAAAGGTGGCATGTTTTCTCTTATATGTCAAATATAGACCTAATACAAATACAGCAATATTTGAGAAACAGGTCACTCTAAGGGGAGGTCCCCTAGAGAGAGGGAGGGTTAAAGAAGGAAGTTAAGAAGGTGAATATAGTTGATGTACTTCCCATACAAGAACTAATACAGTTTTTTGTTGTTTTTGTTTCCTGGGGGTTTTTTGTTGTTGTTGCTTTTTTTTGTTTTGCACTACTGGGGCTTGAAATCGGGGCCTTTACATTTTTTTGTGATGGGTATTTTTGAGATAGGGTCTCATGAACTATTTGCCCAGGCTGCCTTCAAACCTTGATCCTCCTGATCTCTGCCTCCTGAGTAGCTAAGATTACAGGCATGAGCACTGGTGCCTGATGCAAATATAGAATTTTAAACCTGTTGAAATCACCGTAAGAAGGGAACAAAGGTAAAAAGAAGAAAAATACAGAAGATGAACCAATTCAGGTTATAATTCATATATACATGGAAATGTCAAGAGGAAACTCCCTGTGTAGCTATCTTAAACAAACAAAAATGCCATTTTTTTTCTTTTACAAAATTAGAGAACCAGGAGGGCAGAACAGGTCCTGTCTAGGGGGTTGGTACCAGTGGGAGGGAGGAGGATGTGGGGAAAAAGCGTAGGAGGGTGAATATGGTACAAATACTGTGTACACATGTATGTAAATGGAAAAATGAGATTTGTTGAAACTATTCCAGGAATGGGGGGGTGAGGGGGTTGAAGGAGAATGATAGAGGGGTTGAATTCATATATGATAAATTTGATATATTATACAAACTTTTGTAAATGCCACAATGCACTCCCAGCACAATAAAAATATATATGTTCTTTTGGGGCTGGGGAGGTGGCTCAGTGGTAGAGAGTTTGCCTAGCATGTTCAGGAACCTGGGCTCAATTCCCAGCACCATAATAAATAAATAAATAAAACATTCTTTTATGTTAGTTCAACAATGATCTTATT